TCGTGGTAATGAAATCGGTCGTGGTGCAATACTCAAAGTCGTTTCCTCGAAAGAATAAAGAAGATGAAGGAAGGAAGGAAGGAAGGAAGGAAGGAAAGAAAAAAAAAGAAAAGGGGAAAGAAATAAGGAAGGTTGATCGAAGGAAAAGAAAGTTTAATAGAACGTCGCGAATAGGGCGTATACATAAAACAAGTCGTATTCCTCCTACCGTCGTTCACATATATAACGCTGCTATTTTACATTGTCGTTGTGAAAGAGTATGAGAGAGAGAGAGAGAGAGAGAGAGAGAGAGAAAAAAAAGAGATAGAGATATCCAGCAAGGTGCAAGAAGCACGTTGGTGGCCTTTTTCCAACAGCATAAACCGAACCAACGTAAATCCAGCGCGTACAACGTAGCAGCCACGGTGTAAACCTCTTACTGGCATTTCTAGTTCTACTTCGTAGGTTGCTCTTACTTCGCACCAACAACGTCGTCCACTGATTTTCATCAACGTTTCTACAAATACTAAACTGGCGTATATACTACGCACTGCTCGTTAGGTGTGTACGTATCGTATTCTGTTCTTCTTGTGGTTTAGAGAAAAACGCGATGTTTCTCGAGAATAGATAGAATGAGAATGAGAGGAAACGAGAGAGAGAGAGAGAGAAATGAGAGAGAGAGAGAGAGAGAAATGAAGAAGACCAAGAGGATGTGAAGGGTGGAAAAAAACTCGCGATGTTACGTTCGTCGTGCATGTAGAAAGAGTCGTCGACCGCAACACGTCGGCTGGCCGGCAACCCCTGGAAAAAACTTCGAAAATGGAGGAAAAAGGAGGGGAGTTTTAAGAGCGAGAGAGAGAGAGAAAGAGTCAGAGCATATGCACAGAGAGTATAAGATCGTATTCTCTTTCCTTGCAGCTTAGCATTACAACCATGTATTCTTCATCCTCCGACGATGTTGACAAGCGTTTTCAACCCTGCTTCGTTTTTTCGCTGTTTTCTCTCTCTCTCTCTCTCTCTCTCTCTCTCTCTTTCTTTCCCATTTCCTTCTCTATTTCTCTCTTTTTCCTTTCTCATATATATTCCTACTACACGCATATGTATGCATACATATGCGATGTAGGACCGTGCAACAGGAGGAGTCGTAACATGCACTTTCATAGGCCCCCGTCTATGTCTATGTTCTATGTCTATGTCTATCGCAACTTTTCCAAGCTTTTTACGAAGGTCTGACAAAAGAAAGCATTCTCTTTCACCCTTAGAAAGATATTAATACGAGGTAAGCTTTTCAAACCACCTATCCCAACGTCGTGGCAGTCGTTTCCGTTAGTTTAACACGAACATAAGTCGTGACATAATAATCCGATTATAATACGGTACCAACGTATAGAACGCGTGTTCAGATTGTCACTATCTTCGATCCGTGTATTATATCGATCTTAGTTAACAAGACTTGCCGGTTGTTAATTTGTAACTCATTTGTCAAACGATTTTGACGGCTTTAATTAAGTTTACCGAACGGTGTCTTCTTCTTAATAATTGCTATCTATTTTCTTTTCTTTTTTATATTCCCCATTTCTATCTAAATTACAAGAAATGTTGTTCGCCTGTTGGACGTAACGTTTAATAAAATATTCCGCGTTTTCTAATTAACGAGACGAATGAATAAAAAAACAAAACGAAAAAAGGGAAAGGAAAAACAGTGCGCGCTGCAAAGTATTTCAATGAAATGTCGTAAAAATAAATTAGTATTTCGTTTGAAGAGCATTAAGAGTATTTTCATTGGAACACAGGGACGTGGGAGTGGGAGGAGGAGGTGGTGTGGGGGAGGGCGTGAGAGGTTGCAGATTTATGATAAAAAAAATTAGGAAGAAAAAGAAAAAAGAAGGAAAACAATATTCTCTCGTCAGACTTTTAAGTGCAATAAAAATCCTACGACATCGTACAGTTTTAACGAGCTTCGATGATACCCGCGCAACTCGTACGTGGTCTTTTTCCAGTTGCGTGAGCAACATGCGAATAACGTCATCACGAACCTACTCGCATACGCGTTCCAACGCTAGTTTCATTGCGGCTTGCTTTCAAAAAAAANTCGTACGTGGTCTTTTTCCAGTTGCGTGAGCAACATGCGAATAACGTCATCACGAACCTACTCGCATACGCGTTCCAACGCTAGTTTCATTGCGGAATTGCAGAAAACTTCATTAAATTGCGTTAGAAACAAAAAAAAAAAAAAAAAAAAAAAAAAAAAGAAAAAATACTAAAAACGACTAAAAAGGTACGGTAAAGCGAACGGAAAAGAAGAAAGAAAAAAAGGAAGGACGCGGCTGAAAATACGAATACAACGATGTAACATTACCAGTGGTGGTTGTGGGAGGAAAACTATTTCTACGCGACAAGATTTTCAACAATAACGTTCAAACGATAATAATATCCTCGCAGATGATAAAAAAATTGTCGTAGTAACGTCGACGAAAAGAGAATTGTTTTTTATTTTCAATTTTTAATAATAGCTGACTTATACGCATCGTAAAAAATAATTAGGATATAAATAATTTGACAAATTCTCAGGAATATACAAGGATAAAAATGAAAATGATTTCATTAATCGGTTTGGAATAACGTTGTTTTATTGTAAAATACGTGATACAGTGAATGCAGACAGAGACAAAAAAAAAATAAAGAGAGATATCTTAATACTTAAGTCGTATTATTCGTTCGAAGGAATTCTTTCTTAACGTGCACCATCAACATTCCATTTTATACGTACATAAAACATTTTCTATCAAGAGCTTTGCAAGTTTTTAGGAGGAAACAAAGAATAAAGAAAAGATTAGTAATTCTTTTTTGCTTTCTTTTTCTGTTTTCTTTTTCTGTTTTTTTTTTTCTTTTTTCATTTTTTTTTTTTTCTATTCCATATATTTTCCTCGTAAAAATAGGATTTTATTCACGTAAACGTTATCGCGAAAGAAATTGTTATCCTCTATATTTTATAACTCAGTTACTTGAAAGAATCACGTTTTGCGCGAGAACGTTGTAGATATTACATGCACACATAAGTACGTACATATGTACATTTTTATCTATTCGTGAAATATTGTAATTCGTGTGTATGAAAAAGAAAACTTGGAGAATGGGTTATTATAGGGAGGGTTGAGATAAAAAACAAAGCTATTTCTTTCTGGAAATATCGAGGCAAAACAAGATGCACGCATCGCCGATACACGCACGATCAAACGTGGTATATACATACATATACATATATATATATACACGTTATATACATGTACGTATGTACTCTTGCTTCCATTTGATCTGTAAACATCCACTTTGATGAAGCCCACAAGCGATAAACATACACGTTCTATATATGTGGTCTATGTGATAGAGGTAGGAAGAGGAGAGATGTTTCTTCGATCAAAATGGAATATATTTTCAAATGAAGTCCTCATCGATCAGCGAATATTCCTATTTTCTATTTTTTAATATCGTTATTGAAAGTTCTCTCAGCCTCTAGCTTTTTTTTTTATTATTTGCCAGAGTATCATACAAAAAAATAAATGGAGGAAAAAACATATTCAAAATAAAAAGAGAGAGAGAGAGAGAGAGAGAGAGAGAGAATGTTTCAGTCGATATAACGTTTAATTGAAAAATTGAATTTATAAAATCGCGTTTTGAATTTCGTCGCAGTTGAGAACCATCATCCACCATCTCTCTTATGGTTCTACATATAGTTCTATATTATGACTAGGATATGCTGTACACGATAATTCCAGAAGACAGAGAGTGGCAAAAGCAGCAGCACCACCAGCACCAACAGCACCAACAGCAACGGGACCAACCACAAAGAGAGAAAAAGCCGAGGAAGGTCGCATGCTTCCTGCTGCCAGGAGCATTGTATTAAGTCCGTAGTATACGTCGAGATTTATTATGCTAAATAAGTTCTAATTTGGTCTCAAAAATCTTTCTCGTCTTCTCATTCTTTCCGTTGTATCTTTTTTTTTCTTTTTAAAAATGATAAAAAAAAAAAAAAAAAAAAAAGGAAAATCTTTACATAGAATTTGTTTAATATTCTCTCTTGCCCGAATATATTTGAATCACGTTAAAGGATATTATACCAATTTCTCTTACATTAGCGATTTCATTAGATCAGTTTTATTCAGTACGTAACTACGATCTTCATTTCCAAGCTGTGATTTCATATAGAGAACTCGGAATCTCATTAAAGCTAGCAAAATTCTCACATTTTCCGCTAAATGACCCCCTCGAGTTAATGAACAACTTATCTTCATATCCGTTGTCACCTGGTATTTCGAAGCCGAGCTCGTTTCAGGAACTCCACTTGATACTAACTATACCGGCTATGAAATTAATTGAGATTTTACATGCTCCTGTCTCGTTATATTCCACCTGTGTATACATATATTTCCATGGTATTTATTAAGCTTTCGTTTTGAAATCTCTAGCATTGATATTTTGTTGGTTTTTTTTTTTGTTTTAATAACGATTACAAAGGATCGAACGTTTGCGAATTTGTTTTTGTTTTTTTTTTTCTTTTTTTTTTTTATAGATTTATTAATAACAGTAGCTAGCAGGTGCAGCAAGCTAGCTAGCTGCAGCAACAGCAACAACAGTAGCAGTAATTGTTTTCGACAATGTTTTAATCATAATGGAGCGTTATTGAAATAATAAATCGATTCGTAGGATAATTAAACTGTACGGGGTAATTTAGTAAAATCCAATCCATTGAGTGTAAATTTTCTTTAATTTCTTCGTCAGTTATTATTGGGTTGGATAACTTTAGAAACGGATGCTGGTACCATTCGTGGAAAATTCAATTTATATTCGATTAACGTTGTAACGTTACCTTTTCCCTGGTAATGATTAATACGTTGCTTTATACAATTTTTTTCCACATCGACGGGAACAATCGTATAAAATCGAACGCAACGAAGGATTTCGTTGGAAATGGGGGGGGGGGAGGGGAAAAGAGAATTGATAGGAACGAATAAAAGAAAAACTTTTTCATACAAATCCATGAATCCTTTATTAAGAAATACTGCATCGTTTCGACAATATAATCGCAAAATGGTGGTACGAATATAATGGCTCTTTAAGCTATGCACTCCGACGTGTGGTAACATTTCCTAATCGTCGACTCCGCACAAAGCTCTACCTCCTTTAAACGGAAACAACAACGTCTACTTGAAACAAACAGAAAAAAGAAAAAAAAAAAAAAAAAAACAAAAAATTGATAGCACAAAAAGTAAAGATCAAACGAATGTTTGGAAAAAGATCCAAAAGTATCATCCGTCATTCGCGTTTCAAAAAATTCGTTCGATCAACGTCCTGGCCATCCGAGGAACGTTGCAAGATGTATCCAATGTAACAAAAAGAATGAGTAAGAGAAGTAGAAGTAGAATAAGAAGAAGAAGAAGAAAAAAAGAGGGAGGGTGGGGGGTGGTCTAAGAAGGGTGTTCAAACAGAAAATCTCGGAAAGCAGCCGCGTCACGTCGATCCGAGAAAATTTCGAGTTCGATTCGTCGTGATCTCGTAATGTAGCGGCTGTGGGGGTGGGCCTGGGTGTGGGGGTGGGATGTGGGATGAAAATGGAAATGGGAATCTCGTTTTGCCGATGGCACGAACCCGATTCGAAGTTAAAGGAGAGGGAGAAAAAGGAAAGGAAGGGTTAGGGGGGGGGGAAGAAAAGAAAAAGAAAGTAAAGCTGTAGAAATGATTGAAGGTGTAAGAAAATTTCAACGATTCCAATCATTCTCGGTCGACGATATTCGCATTTATCCTTCAAAACAAAGTGATACGATGTGTGATTCTCGAATAAGAGTACCCACATGTACGATGTGGGTTGAAAGAAAAAGATTTTAGATGGGGGGAAAAAGGAATATGAGGATAAAAGAGAAGAAAAAGAAAATGAAAAAGAGATAGAGATAGAGAAAAGATAAAGTTAGAAAAAGAAATAAGGAAGAAAAGGAGACAAAGGAGATCGCGCTTGCGGTGTTCTTCACGTCGAGATACGTTCGCCATTATAGTCGGCTATCCTAGAACGAGGATTTACTTATCTCGACGAAGAGAGTGCGGGCGCTTCGACCCTGATTCTCGGGGACGACACGATGACTAAAAGAAGAAACGTAGCTGTATTTGTATCACTGCATATGTATGTTCGTTTAAATGTGATAATGTGTTCACGCGTGTGTTTGCCTATCTGTCTGTATGTGTGTGTGTTTGCGTGTGTATGTAAATGATCTGTTTGTCTCTCTCTCTCTCTCTCTCTCTCTCTCTCTCTCTCTCTCTCTGTAGATTCGTTTAAGCGGCCAGGTAACAATTTCGATCGTAGCCGCTTCAACGAAAGTTCATCCTTTTCGCATCCTACCGATTTTGTTGGAGATTTACGAAGAACATAAGTAAAAGTAGCAAGCTATTGACGATAGACAGGTTGCAATACGTTGTAGAAATTCCTCTCGATGCCAATGGAAATGCGTAAGAGGCGTAACACTGCTCGTACAAATCTGCATTTAATCGAGTGACCGTACAATAATGGTGCAAAGCACAGGCCCCGTTCAGAGGACCACCGCAACCCCAAATCGTTTCCACTTCGCGCGGCAAATGCACCGTGTTAGCTGCGTAATACCTGCACAAAAGAGAATATACTTGCAAGGTGTAGTAGTAGGAAGAGGCTTGCAAGTTTCGGTTAATTATGAAATGGTTAAATATGATTCGTATTTACGATCGACTGATTGATTGAACAGTATATAGGATACATTGTTTTTTTATAAGATATTTCTTTTCTTTATATTTATGGGAATCATTTTGCGAATGTGTATTTAATTTATTAAGTATATACGAGGAGACACTATTTCGAAAAATGTCTCTTCTTTTAGGGGGGTTTTTACGATAATACAATTTTGTTTTTCTTTTTCCAGAGAGTTATTTCGTTCACTCAACGTTTCGTTTATTTAATACCGACAATTCCGTAGAAATTCGTGTTCCCGTTCCGTTCATCCTACGTCGATTGACAAAAGTACGCTTTCCGATAATATTTGACTTCTTGAAAGCTGCTCTCTCGGGAACTTATTATAGCTCTTGCTCGTCGCAACTTTGTTTCAAACTTTCTCAAGTTCTCTCTCGCTCTATTTATCTCTCTCTCTCTCTCTCTCTCTCTCTCTCTCTCTTTCCCTTTTTTTTTTTTTTTTTTTTGGCTTTTATCTGTCTCGGTTGGAAATCGTATTTCTTTTTGTTTTGTTATTTTTGTAATTATTTATTGATTCACTTTAGCTAGCTCACACAGGAAAGTAACTTTAGCTATGATTAATTATTCTAATCTAAGTTTATTCGCGTTCGAAATAAAATTGCATGTAAATGGTATAGGTATAGTAATCGTTATTTCAAGGCTCATGGAAAGTGTAAATACGAGGGGAATATATCCGACGGTGGTCGAGATGAACATCGATAAAAATGTTTGTCACGTTCGTTTAGAGAACCGTGCTTTGGAATATCAAACATTTCCGTACTTTTGACAGATCGTCGGTCACAAACCAACACGAGTTTTTCGTTAGTTACGTATTTAACTTTTTGTCGGAAGATATTATCTCTTTAGTTTAAGAACTCGTTTTAATTTTTCGTCGCTTTAACGTAATCATAGATTCATATAGATACGCACACATAACTGATAAATGATATATTGCTTAAATACATGAAATCTATATGTGTGTATGTGTTGATTTCGATCTACCGTATCCGGACGACCATTAGCATCGTAATGGTGCGATTGGCTCGAAAAGGGCAGACAGTTATCTGCTCTACTTGCCTGAAATTATTATCGCGGATAATTGCGAAGAGAAGTATGGGAATTATTAATAGTAGGTCGATTTATCGTGATACGAAATATCTCACGCAACCGTCAAATTGTAATATCGTGTTGCTAGTTCGAGACACAAAACTTCCTGCTTTCTTTCTCTCTTTCTCTTCTTGTTCTTTTTTTTTTTTTTTTCTTCCCCCCACATTTGTCGGGCACATTAGGTTTTAACGATTTCGTGGAAACTAATTAATGCCAGATGTTAATTTTAATACGTAAGTACGACGTAAAGGGAAGAGGCGTTTCTAATTTGATTATTATAATCGTACTTTTCTACTATGTGTGCTGCATGAAAATTTGCAGTTGTAATTGACCAATAATAATTTTGCATTATACAGAAATATTAATTTAATCTTTGTACGCGAATGTTATAATTAATCCACGATAATTATGTGAAATCGATCGAAATGAAACAAATGTAATTCAAGCGCGGTAATCCAATTAATCTAATTTTGTTGACTTTTTTTTCAAGAGATTTAATAAGTTATATTAACCCTCGATTTTATTTAACATTTTCTTTTTTTTTTTTTTTTTGTTGTAAAATGTTAGCAGTTAATTACGTACCTTACGAAAGCATAGTCGCTGGATTGCGTGAATCGATCAGCAAGATCATGCAGGCTGATCGCGGTTATCTCTTTCAGATCGTAATAATCTAAGAGCGCATACTCGACCTTCCAATTTGCCGAGCCTTGCTTATTTGCTTCCATTAAATCCAGATAATACTGCTTATAATCTAGAACCTGCGAACAATATACGAAAATATTCCCGATAATCGATATCGATTCTTTTGTTTTATTTTTATTTTTAAAGAGTCGTCGTCTCCTTCATTCTGAAATTCATTTACTCACTTGTCCTGTACCAGTTTCAAATTTGTACAGTCTCAATCCTGGATTGTTAGGTCCTCCCGGTGCACTGGGCGTTATACTCGGTGCAATCATTATCCAAGAAACTGGATTTCCTATTTGATACGTAACAACACGTTCGTAAAAGTATAATTCCAACTATTATAATAATACAATAGACAAATAAAAAAGACGTAACGAGAGAGAATATTAGGAAACATTTGTAGAATAGTCCTTTAAGTAAAAAAAGAGCCAAAAAAAGCCAAAAAAAGCTGTGAATATTAATTAGCATAAATTTGGACTTAGTTCTAGCTGCGCTAATGAGCCCTATTCCGGATTTCGAGGTGAGACGAAAAAAAAGAAATAAAAGGAAAAGGAAAAAAAAAAAATGAAAAAAAGAAAGAAAGCGCGTTCCCATTTTTTTGTTATTTGAAAAAGTACGTACCAGTGTCACTGTAAATGACACGAAACGTGTCAGAGTGCCAGTGCCCGAAGAACTGTCCGCGTATGATGTCCGCATTTTGACGTACCACCTGAAGGTACTTGGCGTTGTGCCTCTCGTTCAGGGTTGCAGCACCGCTTTCACGATCGTCTTCTCCTGGTGGTGTGTGACCAACGATGAACACCTGCTCACCCAGAAAATACAGTCACTCGTATACACGCACCCACACTATTTTTTTTGCCAAACCTTATCACGCACGTCAACCTTGTCACGTGAACACATATACGTTAACTAAATATACCCTTGATGCGAGTCACGTACGAATGCGTGCAAGTTAGCCTAGAATGGGGGGGGGTAGATAGATGGTGAAAGTTTCTCGTTACTAACCACTAAATCCTTTACGTATTATATTCTTTTTGTCAGTTTCAAACAAACCGACAAATATTTGCGATCGTCTTCTATATCCCTTTTTATTTTATTCTTTTTTTTTTTTTATTTATGATTTTCTCCGAGATAACTTTACCGTTTTATTTTTGGTTTTTTTTTATATATCTTTTCGTAGAAAGAAGAATCCAAAGTTGGAATAGAAAAGTGGATTTAAATTGAAATAAAGCGATCATCCGTAAAAATTATTTGAATAAATACACGGGGGGTATATTAAATTCTATTTCGATTCATTAGATTTGTTTTTTTTTTTTTTTTTTAGAGATTTTTTTGAAGAGAGGGTTAAAACGATAATATAATTATTAATATAATTTCGTAAATTTAATCTCTCCTGTCATTATATCTCACGTATTATTTATTTAATATCAAAATCATTTCTTTAAATTCTAATTCACATAGAGCGTAAAATTGTAGAAAATGAAATGGATAAGCGTGAAAAAAGAAATTTAAATCGTTGACGTTATCATCGTCAGAGATAATCATATTCATGAAATGGATCTCTGTGTATGAAGTCACGCATGATTAGAGGATATCTCGTTTTCTTATAGAAATTCGCATTGGATGGTGCATACAAATCATGGTAAAAGGAAAGAAAAAACGGAAGGAAGGAAGGAAGGAAGTAAGTAAGTGGGGTTGGAGGTTATATATGTTAAAAAGAGAGAGAGAGAGAGAGAGAGAGATAGAGAGAGAGGAAACGTTCGATCAAATACTTTCGTGAAATTAGCCTCTTCTCTTTCTCTCTCTCTCTCTCTCTCTCTCTCTCTCAAGTTCATTTTACGATGATATCGTTTCACAAGCCCTCGTTTGATTTCAAAGCCGTCTACTGTCATCGCGATAGTTTTTTCTAGAAAAAAGAACGACCTCGATGGAACTCTGGAATGAGCAAAAATAGGAATGGAATCGGTTCGACAAAGAAAACCTAAGAAAAGTTACTAATGTTGATGATGGGACGTAACGTTAGAAGAGAAGGTACCAACTTCTTTCCTTCTTTCGTTTTAAGATCGTTTTCCGGCGAACGTCATTTTCGAATAATCGGAATAAGAGAGGGAAAGAAATAAAGTGAGGAAGAAAGAATGAGAGAAAAAGGGAGGGGGGGTGGGGGAAGGGAGATTATTTGATAAGAAAGGAGATAGATGTAATAGGAAAGAGATGAAGGAAGTAATGGAATGGCGGAAGTAATTAGATCGATAATAATTTACTATTTGTTTAGTTACTTAGATATTTTTTTAAAAGTTTAGTATATATATATTATATTATTTCTTCATTAATCATTATTCATTGAATTTTCTATTAAGATATAATTATATATTTTTGAACGCAATGAAATTATGAAATTTTCCATAATGTGTCTAAAATATTTAACATACTACTTGAAAATATTTCGAGTAATTTATATCGCGTATATGTATCATTATTTTTCTCTCTCTCTCTCTCTCTCTCTCTCTCTCTCTCTCTCTCTCTTGTTCTCTAGATCTATTTTGTTTCAGTGGTAAAGTATTTAATCTCTCTTCGCGTTAATCCATTATGAAGTTCGCTATACTAATCCGTATACCGAAATCCAAGTAGCGAACAAACAAGAGGAAACTAGAGATGGTGCGTTGTTCTCGATGCTTACATTCGGTCGATGAGCTTTCCTACGATATTCTCAACTTGATATACACGTGGACTCACCGGTTAGGACAACAGATGTACCAACCAACAATTCGCCTATCGCTTTTCATTAAGTTTAGACTGTATCTTTATCGAGTAGAATATACATGTACATCGATATATTTATCTATGGATATACTTTTGATATAGGACTCTCTTGTATAAATAAAAACAATTTAATTATAAGTTCGATAATTAAATTTTAATATCTTTCGATTAGTTAGATAGATAGATAGATAGAGGATATAAATAAATTTAGAATATTTATTTAGTTTGTGTGTGTGTTTTTTTTTTTTATAAAAATTGTTTTATATACCATTAATTCTTTATCACAAAGAAAAAAAAACATAAAACAGAACAAAAAAGGGAATAATTTAATAATTTAGGATAGAATAATCCGTGTGTGAAAAAGATTGGTCGTGAGATAGAAATATCGATTTATAAATAAAGTATTTCTATTTAAATATCATGGTGGAAAAGTAGGTAAAATGTGGAAGATTCAGAGAGAAAGAGTAGTAGTAGCATTCACCGAGGAACGGAGAGAGAACGAATACGACGTGATGACAATAGGGACGCTGATTGGTCAGTTTTGTCGCTGACGCGCTTAAACGGCCCGTAATTTGTAATCGTATTATCGGTCTGTCGAGAATCGATCGATTTTCTCATCGTCGTCGTCGTCGTCGTCGTTGCCATACCGTTCGCTAACTCCATCCTCGATTTTCGAGTTGGTTCGTCGGATCGAGGAAACCGAAACTGCTTATGGATTATTGCAACCTACGGGGATTATAGTTATCGACGTTAAATCGGATTTTCTATTCTGCCTGAGTTGATTACAAAATTTTCCTCTCCCCTATTCCCTAAAAAAAAAAAAAAAGAAAAAATCTATCGCGAAATAATATTTTCTCTTTTTCCTACTTTCGGTTTAGTATATATATATATATATTTCCAAGAATAATAACTATATTCGTATTTATAGAGTTGTATAGAATACATTGGTTTATTGTTCATGTAAATCAGCTTTCTATAATCTTATTAGTCCTTTTCGTTTGCCCACTTCCAAGAGATTAACGCTTCAACATTTTCATTTTATTAATACTCGATAACGAATCCGAATAACGTCATCGGTATATTTTAATAAAAATCGAAATATTTTTTACCCCAACAGAGTTTTTCTCTCTGCAACAATTGTTACGTTAATTTAGTCGAATCTCTTTCTTTTTTTTTTCTCTCTCTCTCTCTGAGAACAACCCGATCAAAGTTGAGCATGGAAATTGGCTCGATTAAACGACTAACAAGTAAAATCCATCCCTTTTTCGATAGATTTATTTCTTTATTTCATAAACTTTTATCTTCCATTTTGCGAAACAGAATTTCTTAAGGAAGGAAACTTATATTTTATTAAACTTCGTCGACAAATAAAACTCTTAAAGAAATTTCAAACTAGTCTAATACAATTTGAAGAGTTTTTGTGTGTTTAAAGGATTACGATCGAGCCCTTGAACTTTTTTCAAGGGATTGAATATACCGTATTTATTTTCATTATATAATATATATATATATATATTTTTTTTTCTTCTTCTCTTCTCGTAATCCAGAAAAATCTTTGAAATATCGTGAAATGAAATAGCTGACTGTAAGTTGAGTTTGCCGAGAGCTACGTTTATGGTTTTGAAGAATGCCATATAAGCTTCTAACAAAGATCTAAGATCTCGGAAAGAGACGTCAAGAAAAGATAGAGAATAGAGGAGAATCTCTTTGGTATTCTATAGAGGTGACAATACTATCGTGGGAAATGTACGATCCGTAGGTATTGGAGTATGCTACGAAATGCCAGGACTGCTTACAGCTCGTGTGTACTTATGTGTCAGATATGGTGGCTATGGTGTACTGTACGGAGAATGTTATAGCTAGATGGTAGTTAATACCGATCAGGATCAATGGCATAGGCGTGCAATGGGGTGTATACATATGTATATATATATATATATATATATATATATATATATATGTGTGTGTGTGTGTGTGTGAGAGGGTTGGTAGTTTCTCGTCGTTCATAGGAATACGAAGTCCTTCCATAATTTATCGATACCCGGTTGCATCGTCCACTCGCGTAGGAAAAGCCCAAGTAAGCTCCTCTTCGCGTATGTCATCCTCGTTCTATGCGCCTTAGGGTGTAATCGATAACCGATAAGTTTGAGTCGCAATATTTGTCCCTACCCTTCGGTCCTTTTCTTCCCTTTTCCTTCTTCTTCTTCTTCTTGCATCAGCTCGTCTAACATTTCCCTAGATTTTTCTTAGCAAAATGTTACCAGTTAAATCCAACGAGAGATCTATTTTTTCTTTTTTTTCTTTTTTTGTCGTCATTTTTCTATTCGACGTGAAATAAGAATTTGTTGAAAGAAAAATTGGATTCTATATTCTTTCTCACGTTTTTTGATCCATCGAAAAAAGGGTAAAACTAGATTGATCGTAAAAATTGTCTGATTACCGATATCCTGATTGAGGTAATCCTTCAAAGTGATCGAAAGTAAATGGAATCGGGGGGAATGGGAACAACTAGTAGATATAATAATGGTGAGAGTGTTGATCCAAGGAACGATTAGAGGTGTAACCCATGAAAGGGAAAGTTAGATCTCTATCGTCCTTTGACGATGAACACGCCATCGTCTGTTCGTATAGTTGAGTTAAGGATGGACTTCGTGTGTACTTGAGTCGATAAATCATGTCCTGTCGGATTTTGACGGACGATCAACGGAATCTCATTTGCGAACGTTTCTCGATACATAAACGCGTCATCTAGCTAAGTATAGTAATACGTTAGGAACATTACATTTCAAACGAATTTTACGTATCCGATTAATACCATGGCGATCACTTGATCCTTTTAATGATCGAACTTCCTCTCATAATACATTTACTCTACGAACGATACTTAGCGACAATGTTCAGACTTATATAATCAGTTAGTTTAATAGCATGTTCGTATTACATCTAACCAACGAACAACCAAGCTAAACTTTGATAACACGTTGAATAAATTGATAAATTAATTTGTTACTTACCGCTTTATCTTCTTTGCGTGCTTTTTTTAAGACAGATTCGAACCAGACCCATTGACCAAATGGATCTTGCAAATGATCGACGTTCATACCATTAGTTCGTTGTGCATTACGATTATTCGATAAGTCTATCCAAAGATTCGTGTTGAGGAAAACGATCAGATATTTTTCTGAACTCTGTTCGATCGTATAATAGCCAGCTGTGTAAAGTACAATCGATATTCGAATCTAAATGATCTTCTACTAACGTTTTTATGTTGTAGATCAGAGATATTTTATTCGAACTAACCTCTTAGATAAGTATCCATAGCTTCTTGTGGTACCCATTGCTGCCAAAGCAAAGATAGCTGTTGGAAACTCACCCCTATTTCCTCGTGTCCCAATGCAGGAAACACAAATTGCGACTTGAACGTGCGGGACAACAGATCGGTCAAATTCTGCAAATACTGCAGTCGAAGCTCGTCAGTCAGGGCCGTACGCGTCAGTGCGTCACTGCAACAAGTAGTTACGACCTCGTTAGCCTTAGTCGAAGCTCGCCTAGGGGATTACGAGGAGAAGTGGTGACCATAATCGATTGACGAATCGATAGTAATGCGAGTTTACGGTGTAACAAAGATGAGATAAGAATTTAACATTAATTTCTTTCAGAGTTTACGATCAACTTTTTATATCCTCCTACATTTAATTAATTAAATTTCATATTTTTCTTCGTTCTTTTAGTTATTCGTAACATGTAATTATATTATGTAAGTAGGTAGATAGGTATATATGTATTATTATATCGTATTCAATTCATTTGATTTCGCGTTGAAAATATTTTCTTGTAAAGTATATTTACGAATATTTGTTTTGTATACGTTTATATTGTGTAATCAGAGAAAGATCGTCCGTATATTTGGAATCATGAATAATTCGATAATCAAAGTTAAAAACAGGCTCCTTTAATAGGTTGGTATAAATCAAAGTTTCGAGCAAACGTTACGCATGAATTGAAATGCGATTAATAATTAATACAATATACGGATTAAACTAATGAGCTGATTACAATAGGGAAATACGAATTTCACAATTCACTGATTATCAAGTCGGTCAATTTAATTATTATTGTTCGGGAAAATATACGTAAAGGATATCCATATATGTATATATATATATATATATATACACGTATGTATTGCATAGAGTTAAATCACGTTGTTTTATCAAAAATGTCGGAACGATTCGAGCTTGAATTTCCCCAACAACTCGGCGCGCTCTTTTCGCGTGTGCGTGCATACATATTTCTCTTTATGGTATTACGATGTAAACCTGGTACACGAGAGCACGCCATTCTGTCGACTTTAATCGTGGCAGAATTTCGCGAGATTATAACGCGAACAAATGAAGGCGCAAACGCGTACGTTGACCCGAACGACCGAAAATAAAATTTATTTTTATATACCTAAACTCTAACGCCGAAAAGATTTTAACAAAATAAACGAAACAAAAACAAAAAAAATATATCCTCTCTATTTCCTTTTATTTGTTTCTATGATTGGCAAAAACCCGTGAAGGGTTAAATATTCAATATTATTGTACAAATTCACGACGGGCGTTAACGAAATCATAGGAAAATCGAACCAGTCACGCGGTTATAACGTTTGTTGCACTTTGTTGCACTTGCTTGATCTTATCGTTCAATGCAACGAAATTCGGAATCTAACATTTTGACTTACCCCGTCCAAAGGACGAATTCGATTCCTTCATCGTGTTTTGTTTCCATTGCCTGTGCTGCTGATTCGATCAGTGCCCATGGCGTATCACAGTTATAGTCACCAAACTGTCCTCCTCCTCCTCCTCCTCCTCCTATCTTTCTGTCCAGTCTACTTGAACCCACTGAAAACCCTGGAACCCCTTCGATGGTGTTCCTCGTATATCTGCAACCTAGAACGAAGATCAGACAAAATCGATAATATGAATAAAAAATCCTTTAGAATCTTGTTCGTTATCTCTCCTTTTTTTCTGTTTCATTAGACTTCGATTTTTTGTATAATTTTATGGATTTCGAAAGGATAGGATATGAATTTCATTTATAAAAATCATTTTATTCGTTCCATCGTTCACATTTGTCTCATACATATATTCAGTTCTAATTAATTGAATCTTCCTATTTAAAAATATATCATTCTTCGTTAAATCTATCCTAACATCCAATTTGTCTGAACAATTTCAAACGGTTTGAAGCTTTTAGCAAATTTAATGAAATTAATAGAGTGAGAGGATTTGACTCAAAGACTATGTGAAATATCGTTTAACTATTTAAAATCGATATACGTGCGACATATTTTTTCAAAGATATCTTTTGATCGTAAAAAGATAATAGTTTTGAATAGTAGTGATAATAAGTATTATATAAAAGCACACACACACACACGTAAATAGAACAACAATAAAATTAAAGAAGGATGGTAGAAGAGAAGAGATGGGGTACACGCGTTCATATATATATATTTAATTGAATATTTTTAATTTTTAATTTTTAATTTTTATTGTTTTATATTAACGCGAACAAACTTTCTCCAATGTTCTGTAAATTTCATCGAAATCGTTGGTCTCGGTAATGGCCGGGCCGCTTCCATTTCAACTTTAATCTCAAATCTAACGAAGTATTTTTGAAAAAAAAAAAAAAAAAAGGTACGAAAATTGCGGCGCGTACACAAGTGGTAGAGGAGGTGGAGAGCACCCCTTTTCGCGTTTTCAAAAGGCATGCCAAAGTTATAACGGCGGGTGCGAAACAGCTACGAAATTCACCAACCACCGTCGGAAGATTTTATTCCCGTATTTTCTTTCCCTTCGGTCTCTCCCTCTTTTACTACTTCTTCTTCCTCTCTCTCTCTCTCCCCCTCCCCCTCCCGCCCCATCGAAATGTTTTTGCACGGTTAACATCGTATGGCGAAGGGTGATGTACATTCATAGAAGAAAGGTTGGTATGTGCGTATATACGTGTATTTTACGTATGCGAATGTATACGATTTTATTACATTAGTGTGTTTTTGTGTATGTGTGTGTGTACAGGCAAAAGAACGAGCACGGTTCTCACTCGTCACTATTAACGTCCAAGTGGCATGTGGGGGATGTAAAGAGTGAAAGAGAGAACGAAAGAGTAGGGTGAAAAGAGAGAAGAAGGGTGTGGAAGGGACTCGAGGGCAGCAGCAATTTAAGCTACCGCTGGTATTTTATGTAAACCTCGTGCCACCACTACTATCAACGTAGACGTTGGATAAGTATTTCGAAACGATCGGTAAGCATATACATACACATGTGGAAAAGATTTTACCGCGAAATAGAAATGCGTGGAATATATATATTTGTTTGGATATTTGAATATTTTTATTGTATATGTGTGTTTGTGTATGTGTGTAGGGGTGTAGGGGTGTGTTTGATAAAGCTAGAGTAGAGAAGTAAATCTCGATAAAGGGGATTTATAAAGGAAGAGTTTGGTATGGGAGAAAAATGTTAGGACGTATCAGGTTGGAATATTATGCACAACGCTATGAGAAGATTACTTACCATTCCCAAAATTTCCCTGGGTGCCGTACTTTGGATCATAGTGAATGTCGGTGATGTGCCAGAAATATCCTGAAACAGACAGAATCAGTGATACCAACGACTACGATTAAAACGATGACAATTACGACCATAGTCTATTCGATATTTTATTTCGTATTTTTCTATTACTGATACATATTTCCAAATCGATCGTCATTTCTGTTACATAGAATGTATACAAAGTGGGAAACAATTTGAACAAGTAAAATCACTAAATCGATATAAACGAATAACTAAATCGAAATATTATTACGGTCGTTTTTAATGGTATATATATATATATATATATAAAAAAGTTTGAACGAAATAATATTAAATGTTTCATTTTTAACTTCGCTTAATATTTGACCGTTCTTCATTAAGATAATTAATTTTGTACTTCCCGTTTTTTTCTTTTTTCTTTTTTTTTTTTTAAATATTCGCGAAAGTTCATTCAATCTCGCACTTTATTCTCGAACGATGGAATATTCGACAAAAATAGAGAATGTTAATTTTGATCATACTCAAATGTAATTTCTAATTATTTTTCGATATCCTTTTATATATATATATAAAAATTTATAAAAATGAGATTAATTAGATGCAAAAACTTATTGTTTCCTTCGTATATTTCTCGGATGACAATTTAGTTTATCTCGCGATCGTTATTAAAATATATCTCGAGAAATATTAATACTTTGCGATAGTAACCGGAGCTCTCTTTATCGTAGAAAATCCACTATGTACAGTATGATGAGATACACGAGAAGTATGAGAATGGTGCGGTTACGCATCGTCGTACTTGCCTATCTTTCCTTGTACCGCGCAAAACCACGAAAGCAGCATCAAGTAATCTCGGATCATTTTCCCGTGATTGAATCTGCAAGAATATTGATACTTCATCTTATTTATAAATATCGTTAGATTGAATATTTTTAAATTAGAATTAATGTATGTATATATAAAACAACGAGACACAGTATAGATATATTGTATAATATGATAGATATCGATAAAAAAAATAAGAAAAGAAAAAAAAAAAAGGGGGGAAAAGCATATGATTAATAAATGAAATGATGTAAAAGGTGTATCAAAAAACGTAATCCATTATATATATATATCTTCCGTAGAAAATACTTTCCCAAGAGACATGAAACTTTTTCCACTTGAAGATTCCTCGAGTATGATATTAGACATTCTAAGAATCTTGCTCACAGTGCTTAACTCTTTAAGTCGCATCTAAGGGATTCCAAGCATGCATTTGAGAGTTAATAAACGAGGAAGGCGGATCACGCAGGGTTTCGCAAAGATTTCTCTCTCACTCCTTTTCCGACTTTCATCAAGAAGGAAAGAGAGAGAGAGAAAGAAAGAAAGAGAGATAAGAAGAGTGAACAAGCAAGGGATGATGAAAAGGAAAGGAAAGGAAAGAGACAGAGAGGAAAATAAAGAGAGTGAGTAAGCAAGGGATGATGAAAGGGAAAGGAAAGAGAGAAAGAGAGAGAGAGAGAGAGATCGTAAAGGGGCGAGCCAATATCCAGTGTTTCAGGTCGCACATCGTAAATCGTTTGACGATCGAAGCTGATATGACGAACGAGGCGTATAAATAAGTACTCTTTACCGAATCGAGACGACTACTAACGACCTATTGCGAATAAAAACGATAACAAATAAAAAAGAAATTGACGGGACTTATCGATATTGCCCGAAGCCATTTCTACGAGAGACTCGCGTGGTATAAAAAAACAAATGGATAGAAATAAAGACAAATAAATATAAGAAGAATATATAAAAAGTTGAGAATAAGAAGAAGAAGAAGAAGAAGGAGAATAATATTAATAATAATAATAATAATAAAAAAAAGAATGGCAAGAAGAGAAATATAAGAGCAGGAAGGAAAAATTCTATCTTGAATTCCATGAAAGCACATCTCGCGTAATGCTGCTTTTGCTATCCGCGTATGAGATATTACGACACGCGCTATTTGTCGGTTGTGTAGAGAATTATTCAACAGGACCACTAGCCGTGCGAGCAACGTTTCAGAAAGATCTATGCGTTTCAACGTTCACACACAAGGAAGGAATTCCGGTTAGTTTTTGTGAACTTTTCTATTTCGTTTAACCGGGAAACCAACACAGCTAGCCAGCCAGCTAGCTAGCTAGCTAGCTAGGCCAACCTAGCTGGATAATAATGAATGTATGTAGATCCAGAGGAAAATATTCATGATATTTCCTATATTAAATTACTACGAAGTATTATTTTTTGGTCGGATAATAATACAATTAGAAAATTATTTTCATTTCCATTCAAATGAGAATCTTATTTGATTTAACTTCAAAACTTAACTTAAGCTTACGCATCACATTTCAAAAAATCATAAGATCTAATTAGAAAAATTTAATTATTATTCGAGTAGAGAGAGAGAGAGAAATATTTCGTTGAATGTTTTCGTTTAATTTTGGATTACTCGAAAAACCCGTTAATTACAATATATTCCTTCTTTCTTTTTGTTTCTTTTCCTTTTTTTTATTTTTATTTTTCATCTTTTTCATGTTCCCAAGTGGACAGTAGTCAACATTTCATTATTCGATAAACACTGTCATGGAATTTGGACTATTTTCCAAGAAGAATTCGACTTGATCACCAATTCGACGCACGCTAACGAACCTTTCGAAAAGGCTATATAATGTTCGGTGAAAATCGTTCGTTGCTGTTCAGCCCGAAAACGGAGCAACGCGGTGAAGACTATCCAATAAACGTTCAGCAATACTCTGAAATCCCTTTGAATCAGTCGAGCTCATTCGTGAGATAGAGAGTTCGGACTAGAACTAAAGCTATAAATGGATAGATAGATAGATAGATAAAAAGAGAGTGAGATAGATAGAGAAATCACTTAATCGGGAAAAGCAAGTTAAAGAGTTATAAAATGTATATTAAATGAGGGACAAAGATAGTATTATATAAGAGAGTGAATGAGCGAGCGAATGGGAAATAGGTTTGGACGAATGACAAACAGCATTAAAACGTGTGTCTAAACACTCCTTCAATGATAAACGGATTGGCAAGGGGTGTAATTGGGAATCACGCTCGTAATTCTATCGGTTCTATCCTACGAGTTTGGTTCGTCGTAAATTGAAATTCACGATGTTGGCCGATGTGAATGTCGAGTTTTCGTTGAAACCTCGTTTCGTTACTCTCGTTCGCGAATTACGTCTCGGACGTTTAACGCGATCGTACCACCTACGTTCACGGGCAACGGGGGAGGGGGAGGGGAAAATTAAACGGTGTGTTGTATTGGTGACGTAACCGAACCTATCAAGAGAGTGAGAGAGAGAGAGAGAGAGAGAGAGAGAGAGAGAGAGAGAGAACGAGCTATGGGAGAGACACTGAAACAGATTTGATCGTACTCTAGGGGAAACATCATTATATCTATTTGGTGGCTATCGGTATCGTTATAGTCACGATATATTAACCAATAACTGGTATCGCATTCGGATTATACCTATGACGTAAATGCATACCTCGTTAAAGTTATTCCCCCCTTTTTTTTTTCTATCTCTCTCTGTCTCTCTTTTTTTTGTGTGTGTGTTTTTTTTTAATCTTCTCCGATGTGTCAATATCGTAGACGATACCAGACTATTACGATATCCGAGTTACATTTTCTTCTCTTCCAACCCCCCTTCCCACCCCACCCACCCCCTCCCTCCCTCGATTAATTTGCTTTGCCGTTGGTAGAAGTACGTGTAATCTCTGGATAATTAATTGTACCGACGCGACGCGACGTTAAACACGAACACGTAGGATTTTTTGTTTGTTTGTTTTTTTTTTGTTTTCTACTCTTATTTCTTTCTTTCTTTCTGTGTACTATCCCTTATCCCTTCAATCTCCTTTTATCTATCTTTCTCGTTCTTTCTTTCTTTCTTTCTTTCTTTCTATCTTATTTTACAATGTCGATTAATGAACTAATGGTTCTTCCGATAATCGATGATATTTGCCTGTTCTTTTTCTTCTTTTTTCTTTTTTTTCTTTCTACTTTGGACAAAAAGCAGGTTGGCAAAGATTGTCTCTCTGAACTAATCGAATCTCTTAGGGTGGTATCGAGCTCGTTGGATAGCTCGGTCAAAGGGTAGCCGATAAATAATTACCAGTGACGTAGGAAAGGGTGTGTAGAATAGTGCACAATCGTGTCCCTGTTCTTTCTTTTATTAACTGCTCTTCTACTATATCACAACTCACTCACTCACTCACTCACTCACTCACTCACTCATTCCCTGTCTCACTCTCTTTCTTTCTTTCTCTACATCTTTTTCTCTCCTTTGCTTTTATTTCTCCTCCTTTTACTACGAAACTTTTCCTTGATGACGGATTTAAAAGGACTTAGCTGGATATATCCGCGTGTATTTCATTTTCATTTTCATTTTCCTATTTTTCTTCTTCTTCTTCTTCTTCTTATTATTATTATTATTAATCTTTTTCTATTTTGTTAACGTGACAAGTGTTTAAAAAATGTAATCTTCGAATACGACGATTAAAAATGATTCATCTCGGAGTTAAAGGAATTAATAATAGACATTTAATTTTTAGATTTTATTTTTACTTATATACTCTGTAAATAAAATCGATATTTTTATTAAATTCCTTACGGTTGATATGTTCGCATAAACAAATGACGTTTATACTATTTCTATTTCTATTCTGTTACCCCTTGCCTTTTTAATATTTCTTTAATAGAATACATAACGTATGTGTAGAATATTATTAACACAAGTTCGTGTCTTAAATATCTTAATACGTGGCTGAATAAAATTGATCGATTAACATTTTAATATGATAATATAAAATAATATCATTCGTTATATAATTGAGAGATAAATATACAAAAAGAGTAATTAAGATTAAAGTCTCATGTTAGATTCTTATCCTCCGAACATATCAAACAGTTTCTCGATTCTCGACTTTTCGCTTTTTTTTTTTTTTTTTACTCTGACACTTTACTCTTCACTTCAATTTTTCATTCTTACTTTGATTCTGACATTAGCTTGCTCTAATTCTGACAATCTTTTCTCTGACTTTTATTGACTCCTGTATCTTTTATTCACACTCTTAATATAATAATACCTATACTTAAATAAATCTTCCAGACATACACATACACACACACATTCACATATTACTAACCTTCCATATACCTCCCATGTTTGATTGTCAATCACATGTGCACACGTACACACACACACACACACACACACACACACCTAACTAATACTACAATTTTCTATATTATCTCGTTCAATTGTCGATTATCTTATTTCATACGTATTCACACACATGATTCTCTCTATCATGCTCCAGAACCTTCCATACTTCTCACACATTCTCATTCCTACATGTATATAACAAGGATAGTCGTTTAAACGGTAGGAAGGAAGTTATGAGCGCGTAAAGACTCTTACGCCGTAATAAGCTTTTTGTCCGAGTATTATTAGATCGTCGTAGCGCATAGAAAATACCATGCTATCTCTCTCTCTCTCTCTCTCCCTCTTTCTCTCTCTTTCCATCTTTTTCTCTTTCTATCTCTATCTCTCTTTCTCTCTCTCTCTCCCTCTCTCTCTTTTACATTCCGCTCGACTACTCGAAAACGCATCATAGACCTTGTTGATGACGAGCATATGAATATTCTCGTAAATGATGTCCATCCAACGAAGCTGCTGCCTAAAGAGAAAGAAAGAGAGATAGAGAGAGAGAGAGAGAGAGTAACGTAGTAGTTTTCGAAATTCATAAAAGCGACTTTGCAAGCCTTTTGGCAGTTCCATTAACTCGTGGAACAGCCTCGACAAAATCTCTCTGTTCGATTATAACTCGTGAAAAATGATGGCCTTTCTAAAAAAAAAAAAGAAAAAAAAGGGGGCCTTTAATGTATGGGCTGGTTACTCGTTTAATCGTTTCGTCATCTCTCTCTCTTTCTCTCTTTCTCTCTCTATCCCTTTTTCAGACCTCTTATTATTTTTCTTTATTTTTTATATATATATATTATATATATATATAATATTATTTTATTTTTCCATCCCTGATCATCTGCTGCTTCAAAGTGTCTCTCACCTAACATAAAAAAAAAAAAAAAGAAAAAAAAGAGAAAAATGAAAAAAAGGGGGAAAAAAATGAAGTAGAAAATCCGTTCTCCTCCTCCTCTCGTAATTATTGCGAATCGATACGCTTCGCGGGTATCAGACGACAGCTAGACCGTTCAAAAATTTTCAACGAAATAATGGAAACGTAGTCGTTAATAACCGTACGAAATCGTGCACATTAATTTAATAGCTCGCGGTTTGGCCCCCAAACAGATTTACGGTTTTACCTATAAACGTTTAAATTTTGTAATAGCATTCGTGTAATATCGTTTAACGACGATCTTAGAAATAATATTCAATCGTCTTTAATTCCTGTTTCGTTACTTTTTACGTATGTTTATTTAAAATAATGATTTCAATACGCGCGATTTCAATGATCAATTTTCGATTTTTTCTTTTTTTTTCTTTTCTCAAGCGGGAGGGGATTTTTTTGGTGATTGGTTTTTACATAATACAAACAGACAGACGCGTAATTATTTGACGATTTGCAAATTGTTTTGGTTAACAAAAAAAAGAACAAAAATATTATACCCCAGTGTGGGCGGTGATGGTGGTGGTATTATTTTCTCGTGAGTTTTACTGCCTTTGAATATTTTATTCGAATGCCAAATGAACGTGAGAAAGTAGATAAAGAGATATATATATACAAACGTCAGCCTCTTCGCTCGAATTCAACGATTACTACGATCACTGTTGCGGAAAACCATTTCTCTCTTGACTAGGGTAATCCTGAGCAACGTGAGCACCGTGAATCAACCTAAAACAGAGAAATCTTGAAGGGAAGATACGGTGACTTCCTCGTTCATTCTTCATTCGATATCGAGATTTAATGGGCACGTCTTTTCACTATTCCAAGAAGAAACTTGACCTATTCTGACTTACGGAATAATGATTTAACTTATTTCCTTGGCTTATGATTTCAAAGTAAAGTATTATTCCGACATCATTATAAAAACCTTTTTCTTTCGCGTGTAACACAAAAACGAGGAAAAGAAACGAAAAGAAAAGAAAAATCAGGAATCCTTGAAAGGAATAAGTATAATCCCAGAAATAAGTATATGTTCTCAAACGCATATATATATATATATGTGTATGTGTGTGTCTGGGGCAAATGTTAGATCGATATTTTTTGAAACGATTAGAAACGATAAAGCTAAAGCTTTGAAGCTAAATCTCCAGTTCAAGGACAAAAGCTTAGGAAGCCTCGAGCAGCATTTAATATGGCCTCTGTGAGTGGGTACTGCACGAAACAAAAGCAAGCAAACCAAATTGCGGCGGCGGGGTTCTCTGCTTATTTCAGATTTGCCGTCCTATTTCCGGTATGTTAATACCAGCACAAGAATGGTCGGCTTTTATTGTAAAATACTAGCACCCAACGGCTATATAACACCGCCATAATTTCCATGTACGTTAGTCGTCCTTCCCCTCCCCCCACCACCTCTTCCTCCTCTTCCTTTACTCTTCTTCTTTCTCTTTCTGTTTCTCCACCACCTTGTCGTAAAACGAGGAACTATATCGGCTTTCGTGGGAATTGCTTTTCTGCGATCTACCCTGAACATTGCCACTATCAACCAACATTCACCGTTGAAGGCTTTATCATTTGACGTGACGATATATAATTAATCCCAACTAAATTAGCCTTTCTCATTCTCATTTTTCTTCTTCCCTTCTTCTTTTTTATTTTTCTTCTTTCCCTTCTTTTATTTCTTTTTTTTCTCTTTTGGTTTGTTTTACATCTACCTTTACCATTCCCCCCGTTCAGACTGAAAATGTTAGGCACCGAGCCAAGGACTATCAACTTCGACTTCAACACAAGTAGAAATATGTATCTGATCGAGGATCTAAAACGAGTTTTTCTCTTTTTTCTTTCTCTCTCTCTCATTCTGTACTTTTAGAGAGAGAGAGAGAGAGCTAGCAGCAGCGACTATTCGTTTAGGTTGAATCGCGATAAAATTTAGCCTTCCGATGCATATTTCTTTTTCTTTACTACGCCAAATGTTTATTACATGTTCGTGTTATTAGTTAAATGATTGGTTGGTTGATTGTGTGTTCTTTTCTTGCTTGTATTTCGTATCAAGTTTTACATCTTGATGATTTTTCGTTTAAAAAAAAAAAAAGAACAAAGTTTCTTATGAATAAAATACAATACCTCAACACTGGAGACTCGAAATCATGTAAGATTTAGTTAAGAAAGAAGAAGCTCTAGGACTTATTTCGCAAAGTACATATTTTATATTGCGAAAGTTGGTCCTGGTTCCAAAGGGAGCTTGCTCGTTCATTCCTTCGTTCATTCCTTCGTTCGTGCGTGGGGATATACAATGTGCGAACAAAGAAGTGGTTAGAGATAAACGTGTCAAAAATTTTCTTCCCCCGTTTACGACGAAATTGCGTGCCAGGTCGGCGGTGAAAGCACGGTGGTTTTAAACGTGTCGTGTCACGTAAAAGCTTACCCTTTATATGTATGTATGTATGTATGTATGAATGTATGTACATGCTTTTAACATAATATTTGAGAACGTATTTGTATATATTTTTATGTGTACGTGTTACTCAATATAGTGTATATAAAGTTCTATACATAAAACGTAAAGCATGCATGCAAAATACGCGAGTGTCATAGGTCGAACGAGTTCAAGTCCGAGAAAAATCGACTTTAGGGGCGTTTACAACTTCACGTGACAATTTCTTATTAACTTGCCATCGTCTTGCAATAGTTTTATATATATATAGTTAAACTATTGTCCCGTCTCACACTTTCGTATTTTTACGAGCAGTGTTTTAACCCTCTGACTCTCTTTCTCTTTTTTTCTTTTTTTTTTTTTTTGACTTCTTCCAACCCCTTCTCATCCTTCTCATTCTCCACGTTTTGTCCCTTTTATCCCTTTCAATCCAGAGGATCACATACCAACGAGCTTATCGATGATCGACTGCCCGACAGTGTTTAAAAGCTAAACCGTATCCAAGCTTTTTTTTAGGCCTGTTTCGTTACGAAATAAAACTACGACAACGACAACAAAAAAACTAGGAAAAAATATACGAATGTCGGTTTTGTTTTACGTTTTTCAAAATTAACGATTTGCCGTATACGCTAAACGATTTATCTTTTATTATCTTTTCGCGATTATTATCCATTTCTTTTTTTAAATTGACAAATATTTTTTAGTTAACGATCGCGCGTTCGATGGGTCGGACCAAAATTTTTAGTTTTTTTCTTATTATCCTGGAATTTTTCGTGAACGACTTTTTTATTTTTTTTTTTTTATTTTACAACGAGTCCCAAAGAATCGTCGTAAATATTTTTTTGGGCCGAGGAATAATGTGCTACTTGTAAAAATAATATGTATATCTTTTTTTGTTTTATGTAAAAATAAAATTTAAAAATAAAATCATTCGTGTTAATATATCAAAAAAAAAAAAATAATAAAGGTAGAAATTGGATTTCGATTTGAATTTTAACATTATTGAAACGAGGTATCCCATATTCCCCATGTTGTATTTATAACAGAGAGAGAGAGAGAGAGAGAGAGAGAAAACTGACACATTTTTCATTGAAAATAATTTATCTTTCACATGAGCGTAAAGCTACTACGAACGACATTAACGCATCATATTTCTCTATCCGCAAACTTGATACATTCATATATATATACTAAATACATTATGTATATCGTATCATTTATTTATTATAAAAAAAGAGTATCCATTATTTTCCTCTATAGAGAGAAAAATTATAAAAAAAAATATATTCTAATATAGATACACACACAGGGATAATTATGATAAAAAAAAAAGAAAGAAAGAAAGAAAGAAAAAAAAAGAGAAAAAGATGACAAAATATTTCTAAATTATAATAGGGATGTGAATAATGTAAACGTGTATATGTATACGTGTGAGCACGCGTGTAAAGTGTGTATGTCTACAATCTATGTCTATTTACTCGTAAAATCTTTTTCGATCGTTACAAAACTTTCATTAATATATTGAAAATAAGAGAGAGAGAGAGAGAGAAAAAAAAAGAGAGATAAAATATTTCTAGTATATCAAAGTTTCTAGCGTGCAAAGTATTGTAGAAAAGTTTTCATTTCAATAAATAGGAAGGGGTAGTAGAGTACTACCGTATCCGTGACGGAAAAGCTGAACCGAACGCGAATAATGGAAGAAGATAAGCCGTGGACGATGTTGTGTTGTGTGCACGTTCCCTGCCTAGAAAATCCATGGAATGGAAGGAAGGAGATGTAGAAGAACGTTAACAAAAAAAAAGTTTTCAAAAAGGCTCGGGAATGGAAAGAGAGAACAAAAAAAAAACATTGGGGAAAAAGATAGATAGGGAGATAAAGAAGAAAACAACAACAACAACAACAAAAAAGGAAAAGAAACAGCGAGAAATGCAACAACAACGATTTCACTTTGTCGAGGGGAAAACAAAAAGTAGCGTTTTGCCGTATCGACAATGGTCTTATTCAACTTGTAAATACATATATATATATATATATATATATGTATATGTATATATTACACATAGTTTATACACATATGTATACGTAAGAGACCAGGGCTTAGTTCATTGTTACTACGAGGGAGTAATTTCAACGTGACACGTCAAGTAGAGATTTCCTTTATTTTTTTTTTTTTTTTTTGTTTCCCGCCCCCCTTCCTTCCTTCCTTTTTTAAGCTCCATTCGCGCACGCCCAACTGCCCTGATTTCGAGGATACCTCTCACCCCCTTTCCTGTTCCTCCCTCCTACCCCCCATGCTGGTCGATAAATTTCAAACGATAACTGTTTCCGTTTCCCTGACAAAGACTACTACTGTCCGTCACTCATCCCGGTGATTTGCTAGCATTAAATCGTTATCTTCTTCTTCTTCTTCTTCTTCTTCATTCGTTTAGTAGGGTGGGTGAGAAAAGAATGAAGAGGATTTCCTACCAACCTCCCACCCATCCCCAACTCTTCATTCTTCCTTTTATTTTCTTTTCTTTTCATCGAATGGCTTTCCCTTTCTCTTGTTTTTTTTTTTTTTTTTTTCGTATCGAATTCCATATTCTGAGGAAATCTTGTGGAAAATGTAAAAATTCAATTGGATATTCAGTTCCCCTTTTATCGTCACTCTTTTTCTAGATCTTCAACACAAGGGCCTTATTCTCTTGTTCTTCTTCTTTTTCTTCCCTTTTGAAGAAAAAAA